GGGGGAGCAGAGGGAGGGTGAGACTGGAGGCGATCACACAGGAATGTGAGACCAGCATGCAGAGGGATGGAGGGATGGGGACCAGCTGTCCTCCACCAGCAGAAGAGACCAAGAGGAAGTGGCTGTCACTACAGTGAGACGGACGGAGGTCAGATGGAAGGATGGACTTCCTGATGGTGACAGGGGAGCAGGCAGTGGGGGTGGTGCCCACCACAGAGTGGACGCCTCCCTCTGCTGGGGACAGTTGGGGCATTGAACCCAACAGGGTCTTGGGCGTGATAGAGCAGGCAGGGCAGTGAATAGTCTGTTGTTCCCAGCTCAAGACACAAGATGCCTCTGTCGCTTTTCCCTTGGGAGAGTCAGCTCCTCCAATCTGGGGGTCAAGGGGGAAGGGAGACAGGAAAAAGGCCTGTCACCTTGGTGCCGTCTGCCCCTCACCCCTAGCCAGGGACAGAAGAGCTCAGTGTGACCCAGCCTGAGGCCAACCGAGGGCCAGGCACAGTGTGGCCTTTGTCCCCAGGCCAGGGAGCCATCTGGGGCTGTCCCCGTGCAACTGGTGCCAGGAGAAGAGGACGACGGCCGTCCAGGGATGCTGACTGGAAGGGGTGGGCAGGGAGGTCGATGGAGCTGTGGGGTGGGCAGGCGGGCCTCCAGCCAGCCTCTTCTGACCCCTGCCTCCTTGTCAGGTGAGTGGCAAAGCTCACAGCCTGCCTTCCGTCACTTCCTCCTGGGCACACTCCAGCCTGCCCGGAACTTCCTGCTGGTGCCAGAGAAGCGGGTGGCACAGGAGAAGGAGGGGCGGGGCCGGGAGGAAACGGAGCACTTGTCAGAGGCCACTGTGCACTCAGTGAGGAAGAGCCAGGCCCTCGAAATGCAGGCAGGGGAAGGCGGGAAGGTGCTTTCAGATCCCCACCCCACCCCTCACCGAGAGACCTGGGGGGCTTCCAGGGAGAGCTGATGCTCCAGGTCATGCAGCAATTTTCTGGTCGCTCCAGGTCATGCAGCAATTTTCTGGTCGCTCCAGGTCATGCAGCAATTTTCTGGTCGTTGCTGAGTGCATAGACTGACGGGAGGCTCCTTTCTCTCCTCCCCATGGTCTGGCCCTAAGGTGCTGCTTTTGTCCCCAGGTCTCCTCCACCCCCACTCCGAATTCAAAGCCAGACAAACCCAGGTTCAAATTCTGGCACCGCCATTCTCAGGGCTGTGGCCACTCTCAGGGCTGTGCGACTGCAAGTAAGTTATCCACTTGACAAGTACTTGCCGAACACCTCCTCCATGCCAGGTACTGTTGCAGACCCTTAGCCGCTGGTGAGCAAGATGGACATCAGTTCCAGGCCTCGGACATGCCCACGGGGTGAGGATGGCCACAGCCAATGAATGGCGTGAATAAATGCACAGTACGTCGAGCAGCGATAAGTGCAAAGCCAGAAAGCGCAGCAGGGAAGAGGGGGTGTGTAAAACTCGGGTGGGCAGGAAGGCCTCCCTGAGAAGGCGACATCTGGAGGAAAATTCGGAGTAGGCGTACGTGAGGGAGCCAGTCATGCAGAATCTGGGGAAGCGGGTCAGCACGGGAACAGCGGGTGCAAAGGTCCGGAGGCAGAAGGGAGTCTGGTATGCTCCAGGACCAGCAGTGTGGCTGGACGAGAGGCCGGGGACCCACAGAGAGCCGTGTTGGACCTGGCAGCGGACAAGAGGGGTTGAGCAGATGGGTGACATGACCCCATGTCGACTCGAAAAGGCTGCTGTGTTGAGAGCAGACTGTGTGGAGGCAGAGGAGACGTGGGGAAGCCAGTGCGGAGATCCAGATGGGAGACGGCGGAGGGCAGTGGAGGTGGTGAAAACGGCCAGATTCAGGAGATACTGATATTTAGCAGGTGGAGCCACAGGGACCTGCAGACGGACTGCGGAGGCAGGGCTGAGAAAGGAGGCGGACACGGCGGGAAGGGCCTGGCCAACAGAAGTCAGGTTTGGGCTGGCTAAATTTCCAGTGTCCGATGATGACACCTGGTGGAGACGCCGAGGGAGCCCACACGCACTGTGCTGGCACTGGAAGGCGCTGCTGTTTTCCCAGGCTTCCACACAGACCTCACTGCCTTTCTTCCAGAAAGGAGGCCCCCATCAACTTCCTCACCTCTCACAGACGTCCTCGCCTGAGGTGCTTTAAGACCCGAGGGGGAAGACGGACAGGAAGAGCAGGGCACGGCCATCCACTGGCGGGCTTGAACTACTGGACCAAGGGTACCCCAGGGAGGAAGGTCTCCTCTCCTTAGACCACTGTGCAGGGCCTCGTGCAAGGCAGGGGACTCTGGCATATGGGCTTCATCTCCTGTCTGGGGAGGATAGAAAGCTCAACAGAGCAGTCCAGATTGGGCCAGGGGCCATTGTCTGGACAGTGGTGCTGCTACCCCAGACCTAACGCCCACCCTGGGGCAGGGACTCCTGGGTGACCTGACCCAGGGCACTGGAGGTAGAGAAGGCGGTTGGCAAGCAAACTGGGTGGCTCCCGATGCTCTGACTGTGGGCTTAGGGTCACTTCCTCATCTCCAGAGGCCAGGTCTGGAGCCCCCTTTCAGCAATTTCTGTTGTTATCAGGTGCTCACTGGAGCAAGATAGTAAAATTACCCACCCCCATCCTCCACTCCAGGGGGGATGGCCACGCCACAATCCCTTCTCCTCCATTCTCCTCTTGGGAATTTGGACAGGCACACACACGTGCTTGGCGTGATTTTTCTGGTCTAGGACTCGAACCACGCAGCCAGCCATGTGGGATCAGCTGCCTTAACCTCCACACTACCTATTGGTCCCATCATCCTTTTGAGAGCCTTCCTTTGCCCTCCTTCTTTTTTTTGGAGAGGTTTTTGCTATAGGGCGCATGTGCTCACCAGGAAGACAGAGAGAGACAGAGAGACAGAGAGCGAGAAATCACCCCCAAGGGGAGATAGCTACGCCACAATCCCTTCTCCTCTTGGGATCTTGGGCATGCATGCACACGTGCCCGCTGTGAGTTTAAGCCACCGGGTCCGGGACTTGAACCGTGGTCAACTACATGGGAGTCCGGCGACATAGCCATTATGCTAACTGCTGGTTCGCCTTTGCCCTCCTTCTGAATGAAGCCCTAACCTCCAGCCTGCACCAAGACCATTGGAGCTCCAGGCCCCCTCCTCTCCAGCATCTCCTCTTCTCACTCCCCACCACACTCCCAGTCCCCACCACACAGGCTCAGTCCCGGCGATGTCCTGTAGGCTGCTCAGGTCTCAGGTCTGCATGAGCTTCTCCGACGCCCCAGGAACAACAAGGTGATCCTACACCACTGCTGGTGGGTCAAGAGGCCGGGCGCTCATGGGGCACCTACTTTACCCATCGCATGTGTCCCCACGGCCCTCCTTTTGTTCTGCTTTCTTTTCTTTCCAGCCTTGGTCTCTGGGGGCCCAGGGACAGGGGTTGAAGGACAGAACTTGCAACTGCCCACTTTCTTTTTTTTTCTTTTTATAGAGGTTTTTGCTATAGGGTGCATGCGCTCACCAGAAAAACAGAGAGACAGAAAGGGAGAAATCACCCCCTGAGGGGATGGCCACGCCACAATCCCTTCTCCTCCATTCTCCTCTCAGGATCTTAGGCACGCATGCACACGTGCCTGGCGTGAATTTAAGTCACCGGGTCTGGGACTCAAACCAGTTGACTACATTGGAGTCCAGAGACACAGCCATTATGCCAACTGCTGGTCCTACAACTACCCACTTTCTGAAACCCAAAGGCTGTCCACCGGATCATGACCACAGTTTCTGCTCCATCCCTAGCCTCTACCCCTGTCACTCTGGGTCTTGGGCAAGTTTCAAAGGACTAGAGGCCATGGCTGAGCAGGTCTGCAGACGTCATGAGCTGGGCTGGAGACACTCCCTCCCTCCTCGATCCTGAGGGAGAAGTGTGCCTGCAGGCCGCCACAGATACCATCTCTTCCTCCATTCTCCGGCTGACCCTGCTCTGAACAGCTGGAGGCTTCAGTTTCCCCAGCCTGTGACAAACCTCAGGGACAGCCAGTCATCCAGTGGCAGTCTGGAGCCTGGGAGCCCTTCCCACCGACCTCTCCCTGCCCCAGCCTGGATGAAAGAGGCTGCAGGCTTGAGGCCTTCAGGGTGGCCAGAACCGAGGAGGAGAGACAGGCCTGCCTCGCTCTGCCAACAAAACAGATGCTCTGGACAGTGACAAAGCTCCAAGAAGATTCCCACTGCCTCTGTTTGGAATGCAGGAAGCAGCTGAGAAGGCCTTCTGGGAGCAGGCTGGGCCAACCTGCAGGATGTTGGCCAGAGCCCCAGCTCTGGGCTCAGGTCGCTCCCTGAGCGTGGCCCCTATGGTTTCTTGTTCAGAACAGAAATCTCCTATGGCAAGGACCAAGTGCTGTCCATTCCGCACAGTCTGGTGTCATGGAAGAAAGCACTGTACTAGCACTGTGGCCTGGGAGACGCCGCGCCTCAGTTTCCCTGTTAACAAAGAACAATACTGAACCTCCAATCCAACTGCTAGCAGGCTGCTAGGCTTCGCTTTCCTAGCCTTTTTCTGGGGATGTCACCTTGCTGTTTAAAATTCTTCAGAGCTAGGCCAGCAGGTGATATGGAGGTTAAGGAGCTGGATCTCACATAGCTGACTTCATAGTTCAAGTCCCAGATCTGGTGGCTTGAAAATCACACCAGGTGCATATGCATGCATGCCCAAAATCCGAAGAGGAGAACGAAAGAGAAGGGATTACAACATGGTCATCTCCCCTGTGGGGTGATTTTCCACTTTCTTTCCCCCTCTCTCTGGCAAGAGCACACATCCTATAGCAAAAACTAATAAATAAATAAATAAATAAATAAATAAATAAATAAACAAACAAACTTCAGAGCTAATACTGATTTCAAAAACCACCCACACTCCAGGGCCCAGCAGACCAAACATCGGGTGCGGACTTTCGCTGCTTCTCGAGTCTCGGCTCTCACCCCACCTTGAAGGACGTTTTGCCCGGCATTCCCAGAGCGAATCACACACACCCCTCAGCTTTGCACAAGTTCATTGGCCTGGGATGCCCTTCCTCAATTTGTCCCTTGGTAAAAACCCCTCCCAAACTTAATTCCAGTGTCACTTCCCCTGGGAAGCGGTACATGGCCACACCTCCTTCCTCTAGGTAAAATTAGATGCTTCCTCCTTGTCCCTTCCAGAGTAGCCCTGTAACCAGACTCGGATGTCCTTCAGGAGAACAGGGTTTGTTTTTATTTTTTTTTTGGCTATAGGGGACATGCGCTCGCAGAGAGAGACAGACATATACAGTGAGAGGGAAAGTGAGAAATCACCCCCCAGGGGACTGCGGCCACACTGCAATCCCTTCTCCTCCATTCTCCTCCTGGGATTATGGGCATGCATGCACACACACACACCCAACATGATTTTCAAGCCACCAGGTCCGGTGCTTGAACCACAGTTGAACATGTGTGAGTCCAGTGCCTTAACCACTACACCACCTGCTGGCCCCGAGAGCAGGCTATTAACCATCTTACATAGGGGGCAAGGAGTCTACCAGGTCCTCGACCAGTGTCTACGGAGGGAATGAACAAGTGACAGAATGAGACCATTGGGTCACCGTATCACGACTTGCTTAACCTCTTTCCTCTATAGATATAAAAAGACCAGCTCCCTCAAGGACAAGGCCGTATCTTAGTCACCTCTGAGCTCCAGGACACGGGTGCAGTTAAGTGCTGGTGCCCTTCCTTCCACATTCAGGCAGGCCGCAGACCTGTTTCCAGGGTCTCCTCCCTGTAGGCCAGTTCTAGTCTCAGTAGTTAGGGCCTGAGCATAGCTGGGGTAGGCCTGGCCCTGCCCTCTTCCTGGTGCCGCTAGAGCAATCCAGGCTGTCCAGGAAAGCAGTCCGAGACTCCTGCATGTCATGCCTCCTCAGTCCTCCTGGGTCTCAGAGGGAACTGGAGTACAGGGCCTGGGGCCAAGGCAGTGCTGGCACCAGAGAGGCACCAGCAAAGTGCCGCTTGTCTTCAAGGCTCGGGTCAGGCGTGACCTCTTCTCAGATACCTCCCACAATGCCCCTGATGTCCCCTGTAGCCTGGCACTCCACTGCCCCCATTCAGGTGAGTTACCGCCCCTGTGTTCCCACAGCATCCTCCATCCCCAACCAAACACAGGGCTCCTGGGACTGTCTGTTTGCCTATTTCCCTAGTTTACCTGTGTGCTTTTTAAAAAAAATTATTTTATTTAACATTTATTTATTTATTTATTTTAATTTGACCAGAGAGGGACAGTGTGTGTGTGGGAGAGAGAGAAAGACAAAGTGAGAAAGCCAGCCGCCACGTCCAGACTCGAACCACAGTCAGCCATGTGGGAGTCCAGCGCCCTTAACCACCACACCACCTGCCGGCTCCACCTGTGAGCTTGTAAAGCGCCAGGACTGACTCACTGTTATACCCTGAGAGGCTGACACGGGGCTTGAGACACCCTTGAATGACCAGAGAAGGAGTATATGAATGTAGGCCGGCCCTGACGGCAGGGGAGGGCATGCAGCAGCCTCCTGCCCAGCAGCAACTCCTCAGGTGAGGTCTCTGAAGGCCTCTGGGCCGGAGGGTCTGTAACACAGCGAGGGGTGGACCAAGACGAGAAAACTCGAATGAGATTCCTATCCACAACATGCA